AAATGGTCTCATAATATGTGCAGATCCCTATATTGTTGTTTACTAACAACCACATCTTCTATGTAAACAGTTTTCACGAACTCCAAATAGGTACATAACACACAGTCAGCCAGAGTTCTGTTAGTCAATATGTATAGCTAGTACGGAGATGGTTTCCTGTCATTCGATATAAAATCAACATAAGTAGATGCTCTATTCATTATTCCTTCTGAGTGTACCCACACACAGCATGCGACTGCTGCAGTTTTTTTTATTTTATTTTTTATTTATTTATTTAAATGATCTGCTGCAGAAAGTTGTGGATGAGATAGATCACTATGCACAACAGTTAAATAATTTTAGAGGTAATGTTTTTTCTGAACTTTGAAAGGTAAGCCCATGATAACAGAAATATATATTTCCCTGGTACCTTTTATGCTCATGGGGATTGTATAGAAGCATAGTCTGAGACTGTGCTTCTTATGAAATATTTCTGGTTTTGACATTTGAAAGCATCTCCAGATTTCTGCACTCTGTTGACAACACTTTTAAGGATACATTTGAAAGATCACAGAAATTATACAAAAGCTGTCTTATTATCATTCACCTAGATTCAGAATTCGAGAGCCTGTATCTGTCTCAGTAAGGCATTTCAGTTGATAAGTCACCATGTAGAAGGGATACCTGTGCTTCAAACAGTGCCTCCCAATGAAATTATCACAATTCAAAATCAAAGCATTTGAACTGTGAGTCAATGTTTGGTCAACTGTGGTTTTTTTTTCATAGTATGTACTGGAAATGTTCCTGTTTAGGAATCACCTCTAATTTCAGAAGAGACATTCTAAACAGCAGCAGTAGTTTGAAACTCTCTGAACCCTGCTCCAATGAAGGCTACATGATGTGGGAAAGTTTTTGAAGTAATATAACACAATTGTACAGAGGCCACAAAAATAAACAGGAGGAATTTTCCCAGGGAAGTATAAGGGGAAGCTACAGAGGATGAGGTTAATGTACAGAACAGTGGTCCTGTTTGCATCCTCTCATGAAGTGACAAGATGTGACTATTATCATAACTTAGCTTGGTGCAGACATCCAGACCATAACGAAGAAGAAAAAGAAAAAGAGAAGCCTGCATGTCTGATTCATTTTAACCAATGTATGGATGGTGTTGATAAGAAATATCAACTGTTGCAGATGTACATAGTGGAGAGAAAGAGGATAATAGTTGTACATAAAACTGTTACAAATGCAACTCAGCATCACGGTTTCAAATATCATCATATATAGGAAACATTTGGGTCAAAAAAAAAGATCATTTGAAATTCAGGATAGATCTGATTGAGGGATCACTGGTAAAGCTTTCAATTCAGCATGAAGAAAAAGTCACTGAGGTAATGACAACACTGTAATGAGACTTGTAGAATGATATTTTCCTCAAAGAATACCTCCCACAGAAAGAAATTGAAGCCAACACTATCAAAAGTATTTACATTCTTCTCTTTGAAGTATATTTGTACTATCCTATAATGCTTTATTAATGCAGTCACCTCATAGCCTAGGAATCAGAGGTTAATTGATTTTGAATAAATTTGCAGTACTACTAATAACAGTAGTATAGTAAAGTAAGTAAAGGTATCCCTATAACATGATGTGCAGGCCCATAAGGTTGTGAGATGTTGAGGTTCCCACATTTTCTAGACAATCGGCTCATAGATGGCGGCAAGGTTGTTAGCCTTACGTGCTGGCCGCCTTTTACCCCCAAGAATATTCCAGATACTCATTTCTGTTAGAGGCTGAGTCAACCCCAGGGCCATAGTGCGGCTGCAAGGATTAGGTAAGTTGAAAAAATCCAATGACCTCATCAGGAATTGAACCCACATCCTTCTGGCTTGTAGCATAGTGCCTCAACGAACAATGCTACCATGTGCCGCTAAATAACAGTAGTAGCAGAAATGATCATAACTTTTGGGATTCAGATTTGAATAACACCTTTAGCAGCACTTGGAATTTTCACCATATGCACTGAATATTAATTATACAACATAATATAATGGAAATAATCACTGGTTGTGAGCTACAGCAGTATGATGAATAGCCCAAACGTTTATTAGATCGGTAAGTGAAAACTGTCATCCTTTGTTATAGGAGTGCCCACTACATTATCTAGGCCTCAGATGAGTAACAAAGTAACACCCAGTTACAGGTCATAGCTCATAGCTGTAAATAAATTAGAGAAAGAACCATAAGTAACAGACACTGTTGTATCCTCAGATTAAATTGCAAGAACAGTAGCAGAAAATATTGGAAATTATACAGAGACATGTAAGCTTTATTAATAATGAACAAGCAGACTTTACAGCAAGCCTAGATTATGCCTCGTTCTCTTGATTAGGGAATTAATACAGTGTCAAATCAATGCCACTGAAAACATTAGATGTACAAGAGAAAGGTAAGTGATCAAGTTAAATGTGAGATTTGAGGTTCTCATCTTGGTTACTATGAGCTGGTATAGTGTAGTCAGTATAGTGACTTGCTACGGGCTGGACAACCGAGGAGTCAGAGTTTAAGCCCCGGTAGGGTCAAGAATTTTCTCTACTCCATGTTGTCCAGACTGGCTCTGGGGTCCACCCAACCTCCTATCCAATGGATACCGGGTGCTGTTTCCCCAGGGGTAAAGTGGCAGGGCGTGAAGTTGACCACTCACCTCCAACTAGTGCCGAGGTCAAGAACACGTGGATCTATACATCTGCTCCCACATGCGCTTTCATGGTGTAATGCATAATTAGTTAAGCACAGGGACAACTTTACCTTTACCATGATGATTACTATGAAGATTACTAACTTCTGGGATGTAATCTGATAGTAGTTTATTAGCATTAGAGGACCATACTGCCTCCGTTTTCAAAGTAAGCCAAGCAGCAACAAAGAAACAGGTGAATTCTGAACAGTTCTTTTAGTGGTCCTTACCCAGTTTGGGTATACTTATCATCCGGCAGCTTGATAATACTGACCTTGTTGGTCACCTGTTTTGCCATGACCCTCATGAGTGGTGCTGCCTGGTACATCATCGATCTCCTGGCAGTACCTCATCCATGAGGATCACTTGGCCTTCCTTATTTCTTTATTATTACAGGTGAGGGTTTCCTTGTAGGTGTCCCACAGCCCTGTTCTTTTTGCTATATTAAATAACTTTCTTGTTTTAGCTCTTAGCCCACTCAGCTGTTTATTCCACCAAGGTGCATTCCTTGGTAAGCGAGTGGTCTTGGCTGGACAATTATGATAATAGGACAAGATAATGGCTTGTTGCAGCTGATCAACAGATCGATCTATGTCCCTTATTGTGCATATATTTCGCGAAATAATCTCCAGATTAGGACCTTTAGGTCCTTGTATGACTCCCAATTGGTTCTCCTAGGATATCTAAAGGTAACTTGTTTCGGTGTTACGTTACCTATTTGAAAGCATATGCATCTATGCGTAATGTGTATGTATTAACAGTCTTCAAGTGCATACAATCTCATTTACCACTTCTACACTACATGCTTCGGCAGTATGCTGCCATCTTCAGGTGTATCGATCCGTCAATTATTTCACTGCTTGCCTTTATATGTCCATTTACAAATAATATTAAATTTGAAGAAAGCAGTCTTTTGGGATTTGGCACCGTGTATAAGTGGTGTTAACCGACGTTTCGGAGGAACGTATCGCCTCCATCTTCAGGGTNATCCTTATAAAATAATAAAGTTTATGTATTTAAAACTTGTTAACACCTATTATCTCATACATCATATTTTAAATTTGTGTGTGTTATTGATCATCCACATGGGGGTCGTTCTTATGTTTCTAACGTGTGTATATTATGTCTTATGATGTGTTCTACTCTTGTGGCTGCGTGCGTTGTATCCAACTATACACTGCTAGACAAACCGGCCCTTTTCAGGGCCTGTTATCGCCAGACCGGACCAACCGCCGCGAAAGGAGTCTCCACCGATATTCTCCAGACATACTCCTGCTCGTTTGTAATAGGCGTTCTAAACGCGACGAACTTTTGTTGTTATAGCTTCAAGTGGTTGTCTCTGTGAACATTGACATCCCACAGACGAGAGACATTTATGTATGCTGTTACTGAAACTAATTCAGGTGAAGCTGCTTCTCGATTCCAAAATGATACAGTTATCTGTAATGGTGTCACATGTTTCACGAAAATTTGGAATTTATTTTTATCAATTTGGAGGGAATTGAATGTTCAGCTTCAGTTACATACATTTGTAGTGAATTTATTGTAGGCAGCATAATGTGGCCCTCTGGATTATGCCACTGTGTAGTCTGGTAGCTGGGTATATTAATTCCATGTCTACCCTCCACTTTGATGTGCTGCTGTATACTGTGAGCAGGAAGAGACTTGCGGTCTTTTTTGTGTTGGGATGAAGCTTATTGTTGATACATTCTGTATACAAGTTAATTAAAATACCAGGCATATAAAAATATTTCAGATCTTAAAAAGAATATGAGCTTCAATACTGAAGTTACATACAGCCATGCCAGTACATGAAATCTAAGTGTTATGCAAGCAGAGGAAGGCCTTGCTTAATTTTCACTGATTATCTCAGCTTGGCTAGTTTTCTTGTAAGAGTATTCCACTCTGAGGCAGTAAGTGTTGACTGGATATGCAGCATTGAGAAAGAAAGCAAAGAACCACACAGTATTTTGATGGGGAAACTGTGGAAAGGTAGCAGTTTGAAGACCAAGGAGACTGTAGTTAAGAAAGTAGGTGCTGACACTGTGAAGGATCTGTCTGGTGTCACAAACCATCGAGCTTTGTAACTAGAGAGCTATGGATATAAAGCCATCATTTCTTACTTGTACGTAGCTCACTCCAAAAGTAATGCCCATTTTTTTTTAATTCAATTTTTATTCTACAGTTTTGCTATTTTTAGGGTGCATAGAAGGATCCTTCCCGCTTGTATTCAAATTTAATTCAACCCGTTCCCACGCGTAGCGATGTCATAGCACTCCTTCAAAATGGCTGCTGCATTTGATGTTCTTAGGAAGATATTTAGTGATCTGTGATATAAAAAGTAATGGGAGCGGCATTTGTGATGTGAATGTGACTGTACGTAAGTTACGCAAAGGAATACGTGTAAGAAGGAATTAAGAATTAAATAGACCGTCTGTGGTTGAGAGTTGGTATAAAATGGGTAATAGGAAGTGTAAAGAACGTTCTGAAATTTCGGATGAGGCGGTATTATCGCATGAAGAACGCCACTGTTTGCAAAGAATGTTCAAGTCTCTTTGTCATGATCACTCAGCATGTAGTAAAGAAGATTTGAGAGTAAGTTTTAAATGGTGGCATTACGATTAACATACCATAAGTAGATTAGGCGATTGGGTTAAGTTAGTTTTGTGTGTGTTCGCTCGCTGACACATCTTTATAATAAAGTATGCAAGGTAAAGTTGCCCCTGTGTTTAAGCAGCACAGCATAAAGACGTATGGGTGAGTTGAGGTGTAGCGCCACAGTTCTTGACATCTGCACTAGATGGAAGTGAGCGGTTCAGCTTCAGGTCCTGACCGCGTTGTCCCCGGTGCCCATTGGGTAGGAGGCTGGGTGGGCCCCAGAACCAATGTGAACATATTGGAGTAGAGAAAAATACTATCCCTGCCAGGAATCGAACTCCAGCTGTTCAGCTTGTAGTCCATTGCTATGATGACTGACCTATATAAAAAGGCATAAATCTTGCAAAATTGAATTATTACACATGCTTCCAATAAGAATTAAACCTATGTGTACAAACACGACAGTTTTACTTGGCAGTAAATGAATTCCTTTTTGTCCTACATGTGATCTGTGGTTTAATTTGTAAAACACATAATTAATAGCAGCTGTTATATATGATTTACAGTATTCGCTGTGGAATAATTGTAAGGAATTTCTCGTTATGTAAAATATATCATGTGTCTTCTGTTATGCTATGACTTGATTATTTTGTTCATTTGTATGTATGTGTGTAAAGGGTGAGCCATAAAATCCGGCCCTCACACTGTGACTTTCAATGATCTATTGTGCTTCCCCTTTGGATTAACTCTTTATTAATCCTACACTTCCGACGAAATGTAGGACTTTATTTATGGGGGTGTCATAAAAGTCACTTGGTTCCATGAAGAACTGATCCAAGTGATGAAATCTCAAGTAAGCTATGACATCACAATCACATAGGATATGTTGTTCATTTGTATACAGACATGTGAGTCTAACAGACAACACTCACTCCTAGGTCAATGCTGCACATTGCTGGCGACGCTCATATTTATACAGCACTCGATGTCCATCCCACCTGTAAATCATCACATCGGGGTCACCAGTGTGGGATTGTCGATGTTCCAATAGACAACCACTCCGAAAAGTTTGTGGGCCCTGAAAAGGGCCGTTTGTTCCTTCGTAGTAGGCCAAGTCTTACAGCCATTCAGCTGGTAGTTGCGGCAGCTGCGTTAGATGCCTGGTCGCAGAGCGGGGTCACTGGAAACTTGCGGCAACTACGTCGGTTGACTGGTCACAGAGCATGGTTGCTGGAGACTTGTGGCAACTACGTTGGTTGACTGGTCACAGAGCATGGTCACTGGAGACTTGCGGTAACTACGTCGGTTGCCTGGTCGCGAAGCATAGTCGCTGTAGACTTGCGGCAAATACATCGGTTGCCTGGTCGCAGTGAAAAGCTGATGACTCTTTGCTCTAAGCTGAATGTGATCGCTGAACACTGCAAGTTTTGGGTTCCGCCTTTTATACCATGCTTGATGGTTGGAGCGAAACTGGCAGTTGCAATTGTGACCGCTGATTGGCTAGCACATGTGATGATAAAAGTGGCCTGGACAGCGAGTGTGTATAAATACGAGTGCTGCCAGCACTGTGATTGGTTAGCGCACGTGATGATGTGGGGAATGTTGGATGTTACATAATCTGTTACCATGATACATACATATGATGCCATTGACACCAGATATTTTTTAACATTAACAAACACAGAAAATGGAAGAAATGTAGTGTAAACCAGGTGATTATTACTTATTCATTTTTATTTTATTTAATAGCACTGTCAGTTGTTGAGGCAATGCAGTGTATGATGTAAGGGGATGTGGAAGGAAGGGGTAATTCAGACTGTGTAAAGTACGTTCGATGCATGAGTAGGGTATGTCATACCTTGTGTAGGTTATCTTGTGGAAGAGAACGCCTGCATAAGTATTCTTGGCTTTTCTGCTAGCATATGAATAATGAAAGTATGTTGATGATATACCAGTGTACATCACTAACTGACGACACATCTTCGTTCCCATAGTGGATGTAGTATAGCATACACTGTATGGAGGATGGGAAAAAATGGTAACTCTACCTGTGTGGCATACAGTGCATGAAGAATGTGGAAGAAAGTCATCATGGGTTAATTTTTTGTAGGTTTTTCTGTCTGAAGTGAGCTTCTCTGCATAATTTATATGGATGAAACCTGATTTCTTGACATCTGTTTTATGCATTCTTTTGACAAAGTGCATAAGCTGAACACATAACATATTCCCATACCCAGTGGTTCACAGGCATGTTTCAGCTCTGAAAGTACCACTGATGGGATTTGGGGGGCCACTGGGAAGACCAAGACACAGGTGGTTGGACAATATTAAAATGGATCTTAGAGATATAGGATGGGATGGTATGGATTGGATTGATCTGGCTCATGAAAGGGACCAGTGGAGGGCTCTTGTGAACACAGTAATGAACCTTCGAGTTCCATAAAATGCTGGGAAATTCTTGTGTAGCTGCATAATTGGCAGCTTCTCAAGAGGGGCTCAGCTCCATGAGTGAGTGAGTGTGAGTAGTTAAACAGAACAGTGTCAGTTGAATTTAATTTTGGTCCCTATTTGTCCTGTATAAGCAATATTTTATGTGAATCTTAGTTGTCTTGGTAAAAAGGTAAAAAGGAATTACTGCTAAGAGCCCTAGAGAGTGGTTTAGAAATCTTGCCTCAAGCCCCATTTTGTGTTATCTGGAGAATTTTTCATTTATTTATATTCTTTGGACTGCAAATTTTGGGATTAAACAGTATTTCCATATCAAATGAATTAATAAGCACTGAAAAATATCTACATCCATCTTTATGTTAAGTAGTATCCACTGTATTTAAAGGCTGTAAATGATTATATGACAGCAGAAGAAATTTTAGGATTTCTTTTTACGTAAAATCGTTTGTAAGTCGACAATTGTAAGGAAGTCTATGGAACTGCACTACTTCCCTAATGGAATCCCAGAATTCTGTTAAACACAGTTTGGGAATTCTTGTGTTCTTGACCTCTGTGGTTCTGAATGTAGAACTCTTTAATATACATATTGTCATGTGTTGGGTATATAACGCGACAAATAACTTCACGCCGTATTTGATATAGCAAATTTTATTTCACATTCGCTCTTACAATCACACAGCTTACAGATTCACAATTACTGCTGTCTGCAGTATTACAAATGCTAGACTGCAACTGACTGGTTGACTGACTCACTGCTGGCTAACTCATAACTCGAGAACTGAGAACTGACTGTGAATAGTCTTCGCTGCTCGTTATTTAGCCTCATTCCGGACAACACAGAAAACGGCCACGTAATAGGCACCACTGTTGTCTGGCGCCGTGTTTACCAGTGTTACTGGTAATGCTGTCTGGAGTTGTTTACGGCTACGTAACAACTGCAGCGTCCCGTGTTATGTCACCGCTGTTTTCCCGCTTTGCCTAGCAAGCGCTGTTTACTCGCTTTGCATAGCGACCAGCATGCTGGGACTCGGCTCACTTCGGCTCCGCTCGGCACGTCATGGCTGGCGGGGAGGGAGGGGCGTCGTCCATAGCGCAACAAGTCACATTATTATATTGTTATTTTATTATCATTAAACAGAAATCGACTCGTGCATTTATTANTCATGGCTGGCGGGGAGGGAGGGGCGTCATCCATAGCGCAACAAGTCACATTATATATATTGCCACATGTTGGGTATGTAACGCGACACATAACTTCACGCCGTCTTGGATCTTAGCGAATGTATTGCACATTCGCTCTTACATTTACACAATTCACAGTTTCACAACTACTGCCATCTGCAGTATCACAATTACTTCTCCTGCTAGAGTCACTGTCATTCACTCAATACAACTCAACTTGTAGCTGCTGGACTACAACTCACTCTGGCGAATGCTAGACTGCAACTGACTGGTTACTCTCTCTCTCTAGTAACTCTGGATACACTGACAAATACTCCTCATTATGTAACTTCTGCACTGAGAACACAGAAAACAGTTACATGATAGCTACCACTGTTGCGTAACGTCGTGTTTACAGGCGTTGCTGGGGAACGCTGCCGAGAATTGTTTATTGCTGCATAGTAACCGTGGTGTCCCCTGTTACATCACTGTGGGAAGTGCTGTGGGGGAGGGGTGTTTACCGAGCGTTGCATAATGATGGAAGGATTGGGGGTATGTGATGTCACTCGTGAGCCTTCCTTTGAATATTTCCTTTATCTTCGGGAACAGAAAGAAGTCATTGGAGGCTAGATCAGCTGAATAGGGAGGGTGTTCCAGCACAGTTATTTGTTTGCCACCTAAAAACTCACTCACAGACAGTTCCATGTGAGCAGGTCCTTTGGGACCTTTTTTGCACACACTTTCCTAGTGTTAAGATCTTTAGTTAAGATTTTCCTCTTTCTCTGTAGATGTTGGCTTGCTCTGCTATGCTCCTGACAGGCAACCGATGATTTTCACAGACCATTTGATGAAATTTTGCAATATTTTCTTCAGTTCTGCTTGTTGCTGGTCGTCCTGATCAGTCTTCATCAGTGACACTTTATTTGCCCTCAGAAGAAATGTCAGCCACTTGTAAACTGCTGTTTCCTTCATGGCATTATCCCTGTAAACTTGCACTAACATCTATCTGGTGTTGCTTACACTCTTGCCAAGTTTAACAAGAAATTCTAATTGAATCTCCAACATTCTCATGTTGTCACACCAGAACACACTCAGACAAGAATAGACGTCACTCAGAAAAAGACTGCCATAGGTCAACAACAACAACACAGCTGTGAAACGCTAATATACTAGCATCATGAAACCATACTGAGGTTTCTGTCCACTGCTGCCACAGCAAGCAGATGGCAGTGAGTTCTCAAACTTTATTGTCAGGCCTTGTATATATGTATTGCTTATTTATTGTGTTCTTTCAGGAGAGACTATTTCCATACAGATGGGCCACACTTTGTTTTCAGTGTACCATTAAGAAGTTTGACTTTTTGTATGTGATGTTTCCTTCACTTTTGATGTCTGTTTCATGGTTGGTAATTCTTTCAACAGGAACACTGGCAACATAGTATGGAGAGGGGACTCCTTACACTATTTGAGGACTACTTTTTTAAAAGTGATCCAGAAAAGTCAATCTACTATGACACATTTATAAGTTTGTTTGTTAAATTAGCGAAAGACCCATGTGATGAGAAGGTAAAATTCATGGTTTCTTTGTTGAAGCAAAATAGCAGTGATGGTGCTCTTACTGTCAGTAACATAACGGAGGTGAGTGTCTTCTTATGTTGGTGAAATATTACAGACTGATATTGAAGCACGTGTCTTGTGTGCAGGGGTTGTTTGGTGCCCATGACTGGACATAGTTTTTTCACTAAGTGCAGTTACTGCATTAATTGTCAACTTTCTCACTTTATCACCTGCAGCAATGGACTGCACTAGCACTGTAGAATGAAGGTTACTGGCCCCCCTTGCAGTATTTGCATTACATAATATATATATATATATATAAGTGGCTAATAGACCATTGCAATGTTATACTCTTGATATTTGAGGTTTCAGCGTCATACATCACTTTGAGCAGAAGTTAAAGAACTTAATTAAATGTTATGATTTTTTGTCAGTTGGAAGCAATTTAATTATACTAGATCATCTGCAAATATTACTTAGTGTTAGACAATCTGTAAGAATGGAAATAAACAAGGGACAAAATTTTTAAGTTGGTCATTTAATGATTCTTTTAGTATTTAGATGATATGGCATCCAAACAATGAATTTTACTTGAAGAAGTGATTGATAATTAGTCGCAATGAACTGAGGAAGATTTTGGAAAGTATTCAGACTATCACAGATGAAGAGAGAAGAAATGTGTGCCATGTGAATACAGGTGTGAGGCCTTATTGAATCACACTTCTTAGTTCCATGACTTTTATAATTTTCCACATAGTTTCTTCTGGACATGATTTCAAAATGCTTCACTCTTAGAGCAGACCCTTAAAGCACACAGAATTAGTTACAAATGGGCACCACCATTATTTTAAAGCAGTCATGAATCGTGTATAAGCAGAGTACCTTTGAATGGTTCTAGTACATCACTGAAGCTGTTCCAGACCCATGTGTATGTAAACTGTTTTTATTATCTTAGCACTCATCCAATGCACTGAACTTATTTCTGGAACATTTTATAGAGTATATTTTGATGTCAGCAGTTGAAAGTGTACTGTTAAGATAGTCATGGGTATAGGGTATAATAGGGTCTTCAAATCGGGATGCCATTATATAGAAAATTGAAAGGTACCAATCCATAGAATGCCTTCAGTATCTGGCATCTTCATAAATCTCACATTTCTTATATATCAGCCTGACTGATATCAGTCATGGAAGAATCTGAGAAGGAGAAAAACTGAAAGTATTCAGTATTTGCTTCCTACTTTCATGCATTTACAGCAAGTCATGTCACACAGTCTGGTACCATGTAAATGTGGAACATGTTCTACTCTGTATTCATTAATTTTGTTAATTAATTATCTTACTAATGTGGACAAAAAGAAACTCATTTTCAGAATTTACCATGGTGAAATTTACAACTAGAAATTTTGAAGTTAATATTCGTAAATTAACTTCACAAATCTATATAAAATACCTTTAGTTCAGTTACAGAATTACTTTCAACCAGTGTGGAAAATAGGGCCACAGTGTTCCATCTCCCCTAACAATATGAATGTGAGAAGCTGTGCTTTATGCAGAGGTACATTCAGCCACAGCCTAAATGTGATTGGCATGATAATCCATATTTATGCTGAATTGCATTAAATCAGGCATATAATAAGGAAGACAGCAGTGTCCAGTTATAGCCTGATGTAGTCAATGTATTGATGCACAGTTTATGCAAAAATAGTTTGATTAGATTAGCACATCAAGTATAAATGGCAGCAGTGCCCGGTTGTACCTAATTGTCACTAAAATAACCCACAATTGACAGAATTGCATTCATCAGACATAAAATAGAAATGGTTAACATTTATCAGTTCTCTAGTAAGATCAGTACAGCAGAGCCCATCATGTCCTTTTTACATTATGGGCGGTGTACCTGTTGAGTGACATTTTAATGCTTCTGCTCATCTGAACTCTCTTTGAAGAATAATATGTTTTGTGCTTTTTCAGATGTACTACCAAATTGACTCAAACCAAATTAATGAATCTTTCTTTTATGAAGTACAAATTGATATGAAATTCGAAATCTTTAGAAAATACTCTGCAGATTTGCAATCTTGAATATGCATGTCAAAAGGACCACATTTCTCCTAAATTAAACAAATTCTTGTACCATCTTTGAAACAGAGTTGTAACAAAATAATTGCACAGAGATACTGGGTTTTTGGACTTTGTCCATCATCTGGATTCTAAATAACTAGGAAAAAAACGTTTCGGAAACTGGATCTGTTTCCGTCCTCAGGTGAGGGAAGACACCTACTCTGTTGGGCCCCTTAGAAAGAGCTTTCCTCAGTCAAAAAAGAATTGATGCTGTCAGTATTTTTTAGTATTTTGATGAAATTACCACTGTCAGCAACCCAAAATATTGAAAATCCATACTATTATGCTAGCGTGGATGATAGAGAAAAGTAAAATTATTGCAGTATTCATTCTTTTATGTGTTCCTCTTCATTAAATATGATCATCACCTCTTTTGATGTTGTTTTCTCAAATTTATGAATTCTGAAACTGTGATTTGGATCCTCCTGTGCTGATGTTCTAAAGTCATGGAATATATATATTTATCTTGATTGTATCTTTTTATTTCCAGTATGTGAAGGATATTATATCATCTTACATAATAATTCTAACAGTGATGGACCATATAATGTTGAAATCCTGGATGACATTGGGTACTGAAATCTCAGATTCGAAACTGGTGCTAATGGCACAGTCACTGTGCCAAAACCTGGAAAAGGAAGAGAACGTTGAAGAGGGTATTGCAAGGTGGTTTGGTTTATGCTCACAATTTCAAAAGCTTCAGACATCTTTTTTGTATCATTTATACCACATACCACAGGAAGGTATGACACATGGGGATGAATCAGCAGAGTACTGTCTGTTCCCACTGTGCAAAGGAGTACCGCCACAACATAAGCTGGTATTCCCATCTGTTTTGAAAGTCCCTGATGTGTTGTTCGTGAATACATTGTTACCATCAGCAATGCAGCATCAGTGGAGGTTCTGTTTTTCTACAGGGATTCATGGAGAAAGTTTTGCAAAAATGCTTGGTCTTATTGTAGATAAAGGACCAACCGTAATTATTATAAAGGACAAGAACGGGAATGTATTTGGAGGATTTGCATCAGAGAACTGGACTGTAGGCCCAAACTTCCAAGGTCAGAATCACATGAATGTATGTTGCAACAAATCCACATAGTTAACAAAAAGTATATATATTATATATATCAAGATCATTGGACAGATGGAAACAGCATTATAAAATGGTAACATCCATATACAGTAGAACTTGGTTATAACGTCATCAAAGGGACCTAAAAATAGTGTTGTTGTAACCGAAATGGGCACTTCCACAGTAGCCTTATGTTAGTCACGTAAAAATCTACCAAAAACAGAGTTAAAATGTTGCATTTTTTAGTGAAATTCGTAGTTAAGTACAGACTAACGTAACATTAACGTGGAATTAATATGGCTTCTCCATATCGTTTGTACTGTAGAATTCACCAAACCAAATTCACGGCATACATCAGCTTTTTTCCTTTCATTTTCTATTTCACGAATCACTTTAACTTTCGCTTCTATGCTTAAAACTTTCCTTTTCATTGCCATGTTTTCACTACTGCACTTCTCTGGGTTTAGGCAGGAACACTATAGTGTAAGTAGACAATGTGAGGTCCTGTTAGACGAGATTCTAGGAAAGGAATGCAGTTAACAACCTGCCGCATCCTCTTGCACTATTCACGCAGTCCCACCCCACACCCTTGTTTTCACAGAAAACCCACGCTCCTCTTGCAGCCTGCAGTCGTATTCTTCCAGGACAGTCACGTCAGCAAGTAGAGAAAGTGAGTGTGGGCAGACACATCGAACTTTCCCACGATATCAGAGAAATTCAGGAATGAAAATGACATTACATACGAGGTTGATGCATTTGTACATGTCGTACTAAGCAAGGTATAAAAACAGTTTCTTTGTGAGGAATTAGTTCATACCATTGAATATTTGATGCAATAGACAAGGTATCGCAGAAACCGATGTTGCTATGACCAAGTTTTACTGTACCTGGAAAAAGTACTCATCCTTGGCATTTTATCTGCCAGTCCTATAACTAGATTTACCATTAGAAATTCATTATCTTGTTGCTGTATATTCATTTAAACGTTCTTGATTGTTTGTCTGTATCTCTCTGTGCCTTGTATATGTTGGCTCATTTAGGGCTATTGAGTGTTCCGTGTGCCATGTTTGGTAACATAATTGGTACATATTTTCCAAAATGTTGTGATTAAAAATGTGTGTGATTTATGAAGATATTGAAGGGATGTTTATACACACATTAGTTTAAGTTGATCTTTATTAGAAACTCAGTAAAGTATTCTACAGAATGTTGTCTGTCTGAGAAGACACTGAAGTTAACATTCATCTGTATATGTGGTCCTTACTTCACTGACTTATCTTTCAGAATATATGTTTTTCCAGCACACATGTTGTTTATTTCACAATAAGTAACTAAAAAGTGAGAGGATTGTTTTGAGACATAGTGTATTTACATAAGAGTTAATATTTAACTATATACATAGTCTATGATGGGGGGCATGCAGTAGCATAGTGGTTGAGGGGCTATGCTACAATCCGGAAGGTCGCGGGTTCAAGTCCTGATGAGGTCATTGGATTTTTTTCAGTTGACCTAATCCTTCCAGCCGCACTAGGCCCTGGGGTTTACTCAGCCTCTAACAGAAATGAGTACCAGGAATTAATTAAATAACTTTCCTGGGGAGTAAAGCACGGCCGGCGCGTAAGGCTGACAACCTTAACGCCACATTTGAGCCGATTGTCTTGATAATGTGGGACCCTCAACGTCTCGCAACCCTTTGGGGCCTTCACGGCCTGGTACAGGGATAGCTTTACTTACTTACTTTTTTACTTACTGTGATGAAAAAAAATATGTCTCGATTTTGACTGATGAACATGTCAGTTGCCAAATTTTAAAATATGTTTTTTTGCAAAGGTGTATGTATGTATGGTCTCTAGATTTGCTCCCATAATGCAAGTGGTTCTAAGTCAACTTATTTATACTGAGTGTCCACCTTTTTGTGCTTTCATCCTTCATTCATGGTTTGTTAATAGCAGAAAACTACAGTGTCAATCGAAAATGGTGGTACAGATCTGTCATCAGGCTGTTCTTATTGGAGACATTCAAAATGTCTGCCATTAGAACCCAAACATGATTTAGAGTGCTGAGCAACAGAAGTGCAGTTTATTATCATTGTTATGGGCACCCTGTTTTTCACCTGGTCTGCAGTCATGCCTGATAATAAAAATAATGATGTAGTAAACTGTATTACTTTGCATGAAGATGGATTACTCTTGTAGTTATAAATGTTTGCATAAAGTGGTGTGTGTGTGTGTGTGT